TCCTGCAGAGAAAAACGGCTGTTTGAGATGAAGTACTCAGTACTGCGTTTACCTGTGTTTTGTAGGATCGTGTACTATGACTTTATACACTATATACTACATGTACACACTAGAGTATATTTGACTTTATATTGACTACACACACATCTCTACACTACATAGACTTCTCCTGTTGGAGACTCTTTAATGTTGCATTGTTCTTGTCACAATATGTTGAGCATGTCTCATGGTTAGAACTAGTCTCTCTCTCTCTCTCTCTCTCTCTCTCTCTCTGTCTGTCTATGTAAACCCACCCATCAACCTATTAACTCATTAACCAACCCTTCTCCTGTCTGATTTCTCTCTGACTGGTCCGTCGTCTGTCGTCTGTCGTCCGTCGTCTGTCGTCTGTCGTCTGTCGTCCGTCGTCTACTTACGGCGGCGTTGTTGTCGAAGCAGGTCGATGGTCCTTTTCGATAACGCGCGACAGCCATTTCTTCACACCGATTCTCTTCCTTAACTGTATAGGTGGCGCCATTGAGGAAAAAAAAAAAATCAAAGTGTTTGGATTTTCCTACCTTCCCATCAGGCACCACGTCATAACTCACCCCCCCCTCCCACCGACTCCCCCTGCAGGGCCACAGATGTAAATGAACGGCCATTACTCACACGCCGGCGCCGTGATATTCTAAAATAACCTTGAAACGACTGTTAAACGTCGGCCGTTCTGCCGTTATGGTAATGAGGAGATGGGACGCCGCGATCTCCTTCTGCGCCAGCTGCTGAGCAAAGTGAAAAAGGATACACTCCTCTTCCTCCTGGGACAGCTTCTCTATCTCACAGGTGTTACACGGCATCTTCTCCGCCACCACGAACAGCAAGTTGGTGTTGTTTATCCTCTTGGCGTGAATTAGCCTGGAGGGGGGGGAGGAGGGGGGGACTGTCAACAACCTGTTCTCCTCACTTCCATCACAGACTCTTCTCCTCATGGATGATCCAGATTCATGGACCTCAGAGACCGTCTGGTTCTGGTTCTGGCTCATTTACAGCTGATCAGTGTTAATCATCAACATGTCTGTTACAGCTTCATCACTGACAGAGTGTGGGTCTGTGTCTGTGTGTGTGTGTGTGGGGGGGGGTGCAGACCTGGAGCAGTTGCCACAGTCCTGCAGTATGTTGAAGGAGCTGCTCAGATTACTTAAGTAGTACTGCGTCTGGATCATCACACAGCTGCGCTCCTTGGCGTCGAACCCTTCAGCGTCAACTTCGTCTGCAGCCGCGTCGCCACAGCAGAGAAAGGTGGAGAAAATATTTAAAAACATGTGATCGAGAAAATGATGAAAAGTTCAGTCACGTCACAACTCACTCACTGTGTAAGAAAAGAAAGAAATAAAAGTCAGATTCCCCCGTGCACCACTAGAGGGAGCCCAAGATCCACCAGTGATATGTAAACCATAGTTTGAGAACCACAGTTTTAAAGGATTTCTGCATGACTTTTATACATTTACACTTGAAACCAAGTCAAAATATAAACAGTGATTTTCTTCTTATGACTTTAAATAAAAACGATGAAAATCTAAAATGAACAGAAACAACGTGACCGTGACTGTGACAGTGACTGACCTCTGACGAAGAGGCTGTGATAGGCCAGGCCATAGATGAACTGTTGGAACAGAGACCTGGGGGGTAATAAAGAAATCTGTAGTTAATTAATTAAACATGTTATTGTAACCAGGTGACTGAGGGACGACGTCATGTGATCTCACCATGCTGCTGCCGACGTCCACCAGGCCACGTTGACAAAGTCTGCGATCGTGGGCTGTGGACACACAACAAAGAATAATGTTAGTGTAGTACAACAAGTCGTACTGTAGGGGGTGTCAGATCTCCATCCACTGAAGTATCTCCTGATCCCGTATCAATCTCCTCAGTCATTGATCAGTTATTGATTTTTCTCCCCAATTCCCAGTCCAATATTCCTGGTGTTGGTTCCAGATGTAGATCCCTCTGCCCCCCCCCCCTCACACTACACCGTGTGTCTGCGTCATGCAGTCGTGTACGACTTCGTACCACGAAGACTCTGGGCGCCGCTCCGTGTTCACTGATGGGAATCCGCTCACACACAGACTGGTAGTCGAACGACTGTTTGCGGTTGTAGAAGGAGTTGTTGTAGAGCGCGTGCATCAAGTACGGGTCGACGTCACTGAAGAACATTCCCACCTGGGAGAGGGAAGAAAAAAAAAAGTTTGAAGTTTTTCCACAAGTTGAAGGAAATAAAGGAGAAGAAAAGTGAGGCTGGTGTCGTCACCTTGTTCCAGTCGTCCTTCTGATTGGACATGATCAGGAACCCACCGTCGTCCAACAGGTAACAGAGCAGATCCTGAGAAAAAAAAAAGGATCTTTCATTGATTTGATGTTTGTATTTGCAGACAAATCTTTGGTTCATGGTCAGAGGAGCTCACGTCACTGTTGGCCTCACAGTCCATCTCACATCCTCTGTTTGGTCCACACTGTCACAGTCAAAACAGCATCACGTCACTGGAGCCCAGCAACAACGAAAAAAGTGAAGTGAAAGTGTGTGAAGTTTTACCGTGTTGGATCCCTGGCGGTTGTCGGTGTGATTACTGGCCAGGATCTTGAACTTGTCCGTCCAGGCCTCCAGGTCCAGCTTCACTCCAACCACTGAGGTCCAAGACAAACAAACAAACACCAGCGTAGGACCAGTACGTCCACATGAAGAACCCCAGTTAAACTGTGGGGTGAGGCTTCCTCCCCCGTCTCACCTGCAGGTTTGATACTTTTTCCTCCTAAGGTTATGTCTATGGCCGTGCTGACCAGGATCCCGATGGTGTCGTTGTCTGGAGCAGCTCGTCGCGGGCTGAGAGGAAGAAAAAGAACAAAGAAAAACGGGAGCGTTGAGAGCAGGACTGGAGTTGGATCTACGGCTCCACACAAACACAGACCTGTTCGATAAGGAGCTCTGAAGATGTAGCCTCTGTTGTCAAGACTGCGGCGGTAATAGCTGGCGTTGAACGGTTCAGGATCTTCCTCCCAGGTTTCTGCAGCTCTGAGGTTTAAAACCACAGGAAACGTGATGTGAATCTGAGCCAAAATAAAGAAGTGCCTCCGTCGGCCGAGCTTACTTGTTTGGAAACACTCTGGTTATTCCTCCGTCGGTCGCAGCGAACACTGCCAAGAAGCCGTACCTGAAGACAGAGTGGGGGGGGGGGGTTAACTGTCAATCACACGGACGGTTCACGCCCAAACGTCCCTCAGTCAGAGCTCACACTCACGTGTTCAGGTCTTTGTTCTTCCACACCTTCTCCACCAGCTGCCTGATGATGCCAGTGTCCAGGATGAGGTTGTGGAGCAGCAGATTATCACCTGGACACCAACAGAAGACGACAGGACGACAGGACGGCAGGGTTAGGACCAAATCTCAGCCGGGAGCCATGGTTTTAGCCAACAAGTAAAATAATGTACCATCATAACACAACGTCTAAAATATAAAAAACTAAAACAAAACACATTTGTTTTAATCTAAAGCAAAATAAACAAAACTATTTAATTTATTAAAATGTAAAAAAAAAAAAAAAAATCATTTTCTCCATCATCAGACTTTTAGCTGCTGTTCAGATGTGTGGTGCGGCGTCCGTTCAGTTTCCGTCAAACTCACATTGTTTGGAGTCCGGCGTCACCTTCTCCATGAGAGCGATGAAGTTGAGCAGGAACTCCGTGTTGTTGCTGGACAGTTCCAGATCGTTGCAGTATTCCCTGAGGACAAGTCAAAACGTTTACAGAAGGTCAAACAAACGCGTCGACATCATCTGTCGCCGCTCGACCTTCACAAAGAGCATTCTGGGAAGAGAAGGAAACTAGAGGCGTCGATGAAACATTCCTCCGTCCAAGGTTACGTTAACATTACGTTAATGAACCGTGGAAAAAAGAAAAGAAAAGAAAAGAAGCGTGCATTAAGAGAGAGTCTTTGACTTGACTTAAAGACGATGTTTTCAGGTCAAACGTGCAGAAACAGAGTTCTTCCATTTAACTCTTCAACGGCACCGACATGCTGAACTGTTCACACTTAACAACCGTGTCATGAAGAACTGGAAAATAAACTCAAACTTCTGACTAAAAAAATAAAAGTAAAACTTTTAAACATGGAGACAAACACAAACCAACGAGAACATGCAGCAAAAACTCGACGTCAGATGAACACGATTCAGGAAACAACGTCACAGACTGAATCAACAAAAACCCAAACAGGAAATATTTAACATCATAAAATGTGGAGACAAAAAAAAAAACAAAAAACAAAGACGCGTGATGATCAGTTCACACACACAGGGTCGGGGTCGGGGGGGCGGGGCTACCTGGGAGCAATGAACACATGTCCTTCAGACTCAAAACTGTTTGGCAGCAGGGATTCAAAATCTGCAACAGAAAGGAGGAAGATTATCCAGGAAGAGGAGCGAGCAGACCAGAGGGGAGTTGTGGGTAAAAACATCGGCCGTTCTTCAGTGGTGCAGCGACGCGGGAGTGAGCTTACCATAGCAACAGTGAGGTATCATGGGAACACTAGCGTTAGCCAATATGGTGCCTTGAATTCCACCTGACTCCTGACGGATGGCTGCTGGTTCTGAGCACTCACTCACAAGTTTGGTTTTTTATTTTTCAGTTTCTTTTTTTTGGATTCGTTCCTACGTTTTTGGACGTCGGAGAACTGACTTGACCAGAGCGACGTGTCAGGAAGTTAGTTCTCAGACGGTGTGAGCCACAGTGAGTGCTTCTGGATCAGGCAGGCATCAACATGGCCAACTGTTGCAGGGGGGTGGGGGGGTGG